TCCAAGAGAACTCCATGAATACTCTCTCTGTAACGTGTGTCGGTGTGTGTCTTTGTGTCTGATTTCTTTTTGTTCGTTATGTTATTTATATCTTTCTGTGACTATGTCGCTGGTGTTGTAATTGTGACTTGTGATGATCATAAGCATGCGTGGTATTTGTATATCTCTCCTCTTGTTGTTTGGATTAACGAATCTCTTGTGATTTCACGTATTTTTTGTTTATATAGTCTCGTTAGTTGCATGTGTTACTTTTACAACAAAATAAAACAAAAATACCTAGACGAAATGATGTGGTAGATAATTGATGGTTTAGGGTCAGGGAACATACTTGCATGGATCTGACTCAGCGTAGTTATTTTTAACCTACCGGGTTGAGCCACGTGTGTACTTAGTGGTATTAGTATTTAATTATTTATATACTGAAATTGACAACTTGAAAATAACTTGGCATTTCAGGTTCACCACGTCAGCTTCTCGGGTGAAATGCAATGTTATCCACTAATTGTTTGTCCTTTAATTGTAAGGTTTTGTATTTTTCCCTAAATTTTTTTTTTTAAATATATATTTATCCCTAGATTCTAACAATCCAAAAAACAAGATTTTGATAAACAAAATAATAGTATAATTATTAATTGAATACATATAACTAGCAACAAAAAATATAAGAAAATTACGTTCAGTCAGATTTTCTTTCATTTATCCAAATCCAAAATATAACAAACCTCTTGTATTTAATTTTGAATTTTAAAATACAAGTAAATACATGTTATAAATATGTTTGTTTTTTTTTTGCTAGTCTCATAATGGTGGCTCTATCAACAGAGGTTTCCAAAACAAAATTCCAAGAGATTGTGCTTCTTGTTTTTTCAAAGAAATTTTCAAAGAATTTCTTGCTTTTTATTGACGTTTAATTCGTCCTCACGAGAGAAATAAAAAGTCCTCGTCATTTTAAATGCGCGAAGAAACAAAAATGAAAAAATCATAAACGGCTGCGAAAATTCGGCGCGTTTTTAATGACGACACGTGTACAGTCCACTGTGGCACACTTTATCCACACCTTTTTATCGCGGTTAGTGGGTCCCGCAAGAACAGCATCCAAAGAATTGTTGTTTCCTTATTATATATATCAAATCGAAATCCTCACGAAATTGCACAATTTTCCTAAAGCTTTCTCATTCAGATTTCTGTCTTCGCGATTTCCTCATTTTCGACGCTTCTTCATTTTTTTTCTATTGCGATTTATCGCAATCCATTGTTTTTGTCGCGCTGCGAATTTGGGTAGATCTGTGAAACTCCAATCTTAAGCCAGGGATCTTGGGTTTTGTTCTTCTAAGCGATTAAAAGATCCTCTTCCTCTCTGAAATTCTAG